AATTCCTTGTAAAATAAGAGATTAAAGACACTGTTTAAAAGCCCAGTCACACATGATGTTTCCCCTCTCTGTGCCTGTGGACAGATCAGGAGATGGACTGTGGGGCAAACAATGCAAACAGTCTTGTGAGTATTAAAACCTTGTACAAGATGGTACTTCTGGAGCTCAGTTCCTTCAAAAACATGCTCCACTAGCAAGGCCAGCCTCTCCCTTCACCAGCTTCCTGACCCAGCCATGCAGAGCTACCAGACTAAAGGAATCTGAGAGGAACCTGAAGCTCTGCTGAAAATTTAGTCCCAAGAACAAAGTCTGCAAAAACCACTTTGTTCCAACCCTCAGCTGAGAACTGCACAGGTAACCCCAGGCTCAGCTCCCATGCCATCGGGGAACATCTGGCTGCATTTTCAGGGCTTCTGCATTTTAAAGAGGTCAGATTAGAAAGTGAAATGGTCACATTATTCCCTCTTATAAGAGTGGGAAGGCAGGGCCTGGATCTGCTAGGAAAGGAAAGAAAGAAAAACAGCAAGTCTCTACCACACCACCCATTTCCTCTTGGCTTGAATCGTGGATGTTTTGATGTGTAAATTTAGAGAAAACGGAGCTGGGTTGGCACCAGCACAGATCTGGCTGATGCAGAGAGGTTCAAGGGCAGAGCAGTCACAGATTTTCAGGGCAAGTGGGTTTTTTGGGCCTTTTTTTTAACAATTGCAGGGAGGGAGGCAAAATAAAAAGAATAAGGCAGAAGGTCTGGAAGGACACACATGCAGAGAGCTACTTTTCCTGGAGGAACAACACATGCCCTCAGATACTTCTGGACACTTTGAACTTGAAAGCACATAGGACAATGGGATTTTGAAAACTGAAGTCAAAGGAAAGCAGAAAGTTGCCAGATGAAGCTTCTGAAAAGGAAATTCTTGTTCAAAACAAAACAAAGCACAGAACGACAGATGGGCCTGTTCCTGTCAGAGGTGCAGTTCTGTTAACAGAGGTTCTTTCACAGAACCACTTAGGTTAGAAAAGACCTGTAAGATCATCGAATCCAACCATTGGTTACCCCAGCCCTGCCAAGACCCCACTGAACCATGTACCCAAGCACCATATGTGGGGGATGCTCACACTGGGTGTTCCAGTCTGTCATGTAGAGCACCCCCAAGAAGAACAGCAGGTTGACTCGTCCCAGAATGAGACCACAGTCCTAGTGGAAATTTGACTGGAGACCCATCATTTACATCCACTGCTCCTCCCAGTACACAAAGGTACTCTTTCAGACACTGAGGCCAGGAAACAACTCCATCTTTCCAGGTGCTCACAAGCCAGGAATGGACAGAAGGAAGGGGAGAAAGAGGGAGCCACCAGCATGCTGTTTCCAAACCAACATAGGAAGGAATAGAACAGAACTCAACTGAATCCCCCCCATCCAGGGCTTGACCACCACATTCAGTCCATTGCAACATGAGCTGACCTGCAGAGCCCTGGGAAGTTCTGCCCCCAACAGCACAAACCCAGTGATGCTCTTTGAACCATGCCCAGCCGTGTTTAAAGCACACAGGAAGCAGCTCAGCTTCATCCAATGTTTTTTAATTTTGAGGTTTCATATTACTAGTTCTATCCACATTTCATACTCTGTCCCAAGATCTGGGGTTAGCAGATTACTTGAGGCTGCCTTACCTTCACTGCCACATGGAGCTTGGCTGTTTTCTTAGAAGGTCCTGATGCTTCATAAGTCGTACCATCAACATCTACAGACATTGTGAAGACTGGGGCATGGACTGGACCAGACTGTGACAGCAGCTTATACTGAAGCCCTGGCCTGATTTGGTTCAGCCTCATCAGAGCATTCATGAGATCTATTGCTTTACTATCTAGTACTAGTACAAGATAGTAGAAAGGGTAGGGGAAGGAGGGGGAAGGAAAATGAACAAAACAAGATGAACAGAAAAATGAAACAGTTTGCATTTCAGTGCCTTCTGTTTGTATCAAGGAGCAAAACCACCCCTTGGCCTCTCAGAGGTTGAGGAGAGCCATAATGCTGTTAAGGCTTTAATAAGATTAATTATATCATTTAATATAAACTATAATATTTAATATAAACTATATTATTTAATAAGTCTAATTTGGGGTAGCAACTATAATTACCCAGTTTTTATATTAACACAACTCCTTTGGAGCTAGCTGTACTCTTCCTGGCTGCTATAAAAGGAGTAACAAGTTTTATAGGTAGTGGGGAACAAGGTCCAGAGCTGGCACCCAGGTAGCACAGTGCAAATGGCCCCCAGAAGGACTGGATCCCAGCAATGCCAAGAGACTTCCAGTCTGTGCCTATATGCAACATTAACGTTTTGTAGATAAAACATTTTATTTTTTTTTGTGGGAGGTCTTGGGAGACCAAGAAGGGTAATAATGCAGAGTCCAATCTTCACTCAGCAAAGTCAGTGCAGTACTTTGAAAAACCCACAGTATAGGGACATTAGCAATAAAATCCCTCAGCTGCTTGGACAACTTCAATTCTAGTGTAACTTGACGGGTAATCCCAGTTAAAAATGCAAATCATTCAGTTAGTAAAACATGTCAGGGGAAATTTCGATGCACAGTAAGAGATGTGTTTGACATTCCAAATGCGGGGTGATAGAGACAACATCTTTTTGTTCCAAAGACTTTTTCACATGCTCTACCACACCAACACAGAGAAGCTTTTAAAGCAGCTCCCCCTGTACAATAGATCTTTGAAAACAGAATGGAGAAGTGCTGCACTTACTTTTCCTCAGATTACGCTTCATCTTTTTATTTGGATCCTTGTCATCCCCGACACTGTCTTCAAAGGGTCTCTTCAGAGCAGACGAGCCTGTACCTGGGGTATAAAGTTCCTTGTAATATGGATATGCCATTAGAAAAACAACATTCCACAGCAGGAGTCTGATTAGTCCCACACGGTTCCTTGCTTGTTTATAGTGACAAGAGCTCATCCATCAGTCACAGCTCTCTTACTGCTGCACAGAAGCCAATATTGGTTTACTGCTCAGTGCACCAGGCCAGGCAGGACGTCTGTGGCCAATACCAGGTGGGAGACAAGCCCTGCAAACCTGCAGGGCTGTTTTCCACAGTCACTCTTAAGGCAAGAACTCCACTAGTATTGTTTTTACAAAAAATACAAGTGGAAATTTATTCTTATTAGATGTATATTGTTTTCTAGGAAGAATCCTTGGGTAATTCTTATTATGGACACTCATTATATGCTTTTTGACAGTTTACAGTCTTTACTTCCCAGCATAAGAATCAAACACTACTTCTGCTCTTTGGATGCCAAAGGCCTTCCTGGTTAAAGAAATTCATCAGCCATATTGTAGCAGTACATCTACTCCTCTCTTGGTATTTCTAGAGAAGAGAAATTCCAGATTTTCTCCTAACTATGAAATATTTTTTTAAAAAAATCACCCCACATATAACACCAAGAAAAGCCTCTACTTCACATTCACAGCTCATAACTCAGGAACTTCACCCATTCTAAATTAACCCCTAGTTTACTGCCCAATCAATGATTTTTGGAACAAATGATACCTACCTTCTTTGTCAGTTACTGACCAGGAATATTTCTGAAATGACTTATTGGATGGGAGGGGATCCATTTCCAACACCTTATAGATCTGCCCAAAGGCTGATAGTCTGAGGGCATGCTGCAGGGGGAGAGGAGAAACAGGGGTTACATCCCAGCAGGACTGCACATCAGCTGGCCAAGTTTGTAGATAAGTCTGTAGACACAAACCCCCTCCTCTGAGGAGGCAGCTTCTCCAGCTGGGGAGAATGCCACTGTCCAAAAACGTACAGCTGGTTAATTCCTGGCACACAGGGTGCAGGGGCACCTCCCTGAGGGGAGCCCACCCAGGGCTCTGTGCCACGGGCACCGAGGTGGGATGTGGGCAGGGCACAGGCATCCCACTGCCTGAGGGGACTCACACACACTGACCTCCTGCACTCCTGAACTGGGGTTAACCTGGCCAGGGTAGCACCCCACAGGAACTGCCAGGGCTGCCATGGAATAAGTTCCCCTGGCAGAGGAGAACTGAGCTGCTCTCCCTGCTGCAGTCCATCTGCAGGGTGTCCTACCTGGGCACTGTGTGTAATGGCTTCTTTTTGCTGCACTGTCATGTCAGACAAAGCGTCCGTGGGCTCGCGCTCGCAGGGGTCGTGCAGACCCGGCCCTCCTGGCGGGGAGAGAGAGGCAGAGGGATTACTGGGAGGAAGGAGAAGCAATATGGAAACAGGGGCTGACAGGGAATGCTGAAGGCTGGGACTGGCTGCTGCAGAGTGGGGAGCACACCTTCTCCAGCAGGGAGTCAGACCTCGTACAGAGCAAGCTGACCCCGAGGTTTTAATCCTTGCAGTACTGGCCAGAGAATTTAGCAGGGTAATGCTGCATGTGTGTGATAACATGAACTGAAAGCAGTAGGTTTAAAAATAAAAAAATCCAAATAATTTGGACAGCTACATAGTCTATTTATTTGTAACCTCTTAATGAGATCGGGGTTAATTTACACACATTCCTTTCATCCCCCATTAACCTCTCCTGCAGTGGCAGTACTCATTCACACAGTGACCACCATGCAACCTCCTTTTTTTTTATTATTTTAATTTTACACAAGAAACCATTAGTTTCACTCCACAGCAGATTCAGAGTTCAAGGCAGGCATTTCTCATCTAATCCTACAGCAAGAGCTAAATTTAAAGCTGGCTGATCAACCCCTTGTGTTCCTGGAGTTCATTTGGCCCCTTACCGGGAAGCAGAATTCCAGATGCCAAACACTCCATGACTCGTCGCAACGCTTCCCCAGCGCCCAAAGGTCTATTACAAGTACCTATAGATTTTTCACATATAAGCTCGAGTGGCTAGAAGACATTAAATTACGATTAGTATGGACACAAGGGTAACTGTGACTGCAGTTAAATATGGAGGGGCAGAGGGGAAGAACATTCACATCAGGTGACTCATTTTTAATCCACTACAGGTCTAATGGACAGGCCCATCCCAGAGGAGGCCACATCCTCGTTCATGGCACACGTCTTTGTCCCCTGCTCTGAGCTGCCTTCAGAGGACACCAACTGCTCTCCGCTGTCTGCCCAGGAAGTTGAAAAGGAGGAGCCTCTCAGGCCAGGTCAGGTGAGTGTTCTCTGCCTCTCAGAGGGTTTTCAGAGAGAAACACCATCACCACTGACCTACAGAGTGTTCCCCTCTGGGCACGAGAGCAAACCTGCCCCTCTGGAAGGGTAAGAGCTGCTGGCAGGAGGGGCACTGTCATGGGAGCAGGGTTCTTTTGGAAAGCTAAGCAAGAGGGATTGAAGGCAATGAGTGGGATTCTCTTGCAAATGCTCAGGGCTGTGTGAGGCCCACAGCAGTGTGTGTCCTTCCATGGCATCAGTACACGTGACAGACTGAAGGAATACTCTCCTTCATTTCCCTACACAGGGAGAAAAGGGTAAGGGGTTTAAGGAGTAGTCTCATAGAGGACACTGCTCTCTCCAGTCCAGACATTGCTACAAGTCTCAGGAGATCTGAGACCTGACCTCGTGGCCTTCAGCTCTTTCTGTACTTACCCAGCCTTTCAGTGGTGCCCATGTGGGGACTCTGTTGCACAAATCCCGCAGAATACGAAGGACAATTACACATGATTTTAGTCCATTTGCCCTGGCCTAAAACAAACAAAATGATTCCAATACACCTGCAAAAGCCTGGCCTTCAATTTTGCTTTTCTTTTTAAATGCACAGAGTCCTGGGATAGATTTTTTTTTTAAATTATTATTACTTAATGCTTAATCAGCTTCATGCAAAATAAAAACACTTCTATAAAAGTACAAGACTTGAATTTAGAGAGACATATAAAAAAAGGAAGCGAAATGTCAAGACTGCTTTTGTAGCCTCATGACAACTCTGGACCAGCTGGCTGTCTCCCTGCCACGTTTGCCCTCGCACGGTACAGCACTGGGGTCGGAATTCTAGACCTTTGCTCTAGGAGGGACCAGTCAGAAATTAAAGAGGCATTAAAATTAAAAGTGTCTCAAATTAAACCTCGTAAGGCTACAATAACAACAAGGTAAGAACAAATAGCCAACCTGAAACCATTTGGCGTGCCGCAGAGACGCCAAGGCCTCCAGGCATTTCTGCCTGTCCAATAAGTCCGGAGGATCTTTCATCGCAACATTATCTACTGGTAAAAATGGGATAAAAAGAGACAGATACAATTTGACCAAGGGGTTTCTGTCACAATACAAAAAGAGCGGCAGCATCTCAATGAGATAATAAGACTCCCAGAATTTTAAGTGCACTGTGTTATTTAATTTAAACAAGCCATTAAAAGGTAGTAAATGTGCACGTGTGCAACAGAAGCAAAGGCATTCACTCCTTGTAAAATAATAGTAATAATAAAGGTGGCCACTGCTACAGACAATCTGGGATCTTATTAAAAATGTAGAACACATTTCAGGGCAGAAAATAGCTATATAGCACTTTTTTTTTTTTTCTGTTGGGATGTATTGGGCTTTTTTTCTTCTTCTTTTCCTTCTTTGTGACTTTTATTCCACAAAGGTGGCACAGAATTTCAAAGTTCCTTTGGACAAGAGGAAGATATTCTCAGGGGGGTATAAAAAAAATTGTATTAGAAAGTGAAGTTACATCCATGCAATTGTTGAGAATTCCAGAGAAAAACATTGAATATATTTGAAATAGGATTGCATGGACAGTACTAGCCAGTATAATTCAGCAAAAGAAATACATGGGAAATGCTAGTACAATATTGTGGTTTGATTAGTCTTTCATATAACCAGAGCATATGAAAGAGTGAGAGAGTTTGGTAACTTCCACATCATGAATGGATTCGACAGGAAGTGCCCTCTTGTAAAAATCTGCCCAACAGCAACTGAAATCAACAGAGGAGATTCAAAGATGCATTTGAGAGACAAGACACTGGTATTCTCTGTGCAGGTTTACACTTTTTTCCCCCTTTTTTCCCTTTTTTTCTTTTTTTTTATCCAGCTTGCAACAAACTGCCTTTAGCAGTCACATCTGAGTCTGTGTTAAGGGACATTATGCATCAGTCCCTTCTTCCCTATTTATTTATTTTAATCCTAAGGAGTTCAGATTCTCTGGAAACTGTATAACTGACAGATTTTGCACATCTCTGAAATCAGATTACAAAGGTACTAGTTTTAGCTGACATGAGAAGAACACACTGGAAGAACTAAATGAACCCATGACTCAACTAAAACCTTGAATATGTTATTTTTCTCTGAATACACCATTACTGTTGACTTAAAAATAAATATACTCTTTTCATTAGTCATAATGGTCTTTAGACACCCTTGCAGAACTGAATGAAATACAAAATCCATTTCAAATGGAAGACTCTGCTAGATAAGCCAAGTCCAGCAAGACATTTAAAATACCAGGACAAGGTAGGAGAAAAAAGTACCATCAGTTTGTAGTTGAATTTATTAGTGACATCTTATTAGTGACATCTCCAAGTGCATTTTCAGGGGTTACTTTGAACAGTATTGGCTGCACGAGCAATTGCACCTTTAATGTTAAAGCTGCCTCCCCTCCGATGCCCTTCCCTGGGAAGGTTGCTCTGGTAAAAGCACTTTATGTTATGATGGAAAAAAGAGCCCAGAGCCAAAAAAACCCCCACGAGTGTAAAACTGAACAGAACCAGTATCTTGTCTGACAGGTGATGGCTGCAGTTCACAGCTGCTGGCTCAAGTGCTATAAGCTTATTTTCTAACCCCTGTGAACTTCACAGCAGATATTTGCATTGTTTGTTATTGCCCTCTTCAACAGCATTCCAGGATTGGGATTAATCACTCCTCTTGTCTCTTTTCCAAATGAAGGCTGCAAAGTCTCAAAGCACTGGATTTCTTTGAGCACAAAAGGTCACTTTGGAATGCAAGATTTGTTTTTAAATTTCCTTTGCAATTTCGTTCTTTCCAGGAGTGACGTTTTGTGGCACGTGATTACTGAACATCCATCCGTGTATTTCTGTGAGGAAACTTCACTGGGACAATATAAACATCTGCTTAAAGCTCAAGTATTGTATCAAACAGGTACTGTCAATGAATGATCAGAATCTTATTTTAAAACGTTAGAAATGGCAAAGGTGACTGACTGCAAAATGATTAATTTTTTGCAATGAACTGGGACTCTAAGTGTTGTACCAGGCTTTGCTAAAGTGTGTTGCAGCCATTGACAAAGTAATTTAATTTTTCCTTTAACTTAAAAACAAATAGAGTAAGTGTCATCTGTCATTCAGGGGAACCAAAGACCTCCTAAGATTTGCTTCAACAAGTTAGAATCATACTTCTTTCTACAGGATTAAGGGTGTTTCCCAAGGTCTAATTTACAAATATCTTCGAGGATTTTGCCAATTGCCAGTTCAGTCCCAGTGTCCTGATGTTGCAGTCAGCCAACTTTTGGGGGCAAGATTCTATTAAACAGAAAGATGAAGAGAACAGGCAGTGAAGAGGGCGAGCGGCTTGCAGCGGGCTCCCTTCGGACCCCTCGGGAGAATGGCATGTTTCTTCATGCTCTGCCAGTCAGGAAAGTGAGACCCAATCGAAATTTCAAATGGGATTGCAAAGCTTTCCTTTTTCTCTTGTAGTTTTAACAATGGCAATGATCCAAGGGGTTTAATAAAGAGTAAGTTATAAGGCCCTGACATTAGCTCCCACTGTTCAGCGCAGAACCAATCCCTCGGGAATTCTCTCCCCACTGCTGGACACATTCTCTTCACACAGGAGCTGCCAACTCCAGTCATTTGCAGCTGTACAAGGAGCCTCATCTTCTCTGGAGAGGGAAGGTCAAAATCTGGGGCTTGTTGCCCCTCCAGAGGCATTGGCCCCGTGGGAGCCCCACTGGCCACATGTGCCCGGCCAAGGGTGGCAGAGGCAGACAGGCCGGGTAGTCCTGCTCCAGGAGCAACAGGATCTCAGCCCCACTTTGGGAAACCAATTGTTTGTGATTACATCATTTTGTTGGTACTGTACACTCAGTAACAACAACTGATTTGCAAGCTACAAGGTTCTGGTTTGGAAAGCCCAATTTATATTTGATGCTGTGACTAAAAACTCAGTTCCTTAAGGGGTTTAAAATTTAAACTGATGCAAAATGCAGGAATTTTAGGTGCTTGGCTTCTCAAGTCAACATGAGAAAGCAGAGCTTTATGGGTAGCTGTTTGTGAGAAACACTGAAATGCACACACACACTGGGCCACTATTTATTTTTGCTAACGAGCAGCAAAAACAAATAGGACAAACACCACATCTTAAACATGAACACTTCTCCAAAGAGGTGGGGACTGAAGAGAAATCCAGGAATGTTTTTCGATACATTCTGACATCAGGGCATGAAGGCACACACAGCATTCCTACAGAACAGATGGGAGCACTGGGACCGAGGGCCGTTGGCCTGACCTTGCCGTTGGTTAGAGGACAGATTAGTGCTAATCCCACCGACCGAAACCTTGGTCAGTGCCCCGCAGGCTCCGCGCCCGGAGCCCGGCTCCGTCTTACAGGGAAGATGAAAGGCAAGCTGAGCTGCACTTTGAGCTCCTTCATTCGAAAGAATGCAGGGGGTAAACTAAAAAGTTTGTAAAACTGCACAGGAAGTGTATTTACATTTGGCTGCCGTTGTTCAGGGGTACTGGAAAAACATGGCACTGCTTTGGAGATCAAGGTGTTTTCACCAGTTCCTCCAGTTATTTTCCCTTGATATTAGACATGAAACTTTTTTGGTCTGAATCTAAGTGAAAGTCACCTAAATGTGGTTGGAAGCATTATGAAAAAAAGTATCCCCTCCATTTTGGTTTACTTAGTGACATCTGCACAATGCTTCACACACCTTGAAAAGGAATATAAGTGTTCCCTTGTGATGAATCAGTGTGTCAAGGAACCTGGGCTTTAAAACAAGATCCATGACCCTGTTCCCTCTCTCATCAGCTGTACAGAATGACACACAGAACCACTCCAAGAGAAGTGGTAAAACCAATTTAAGTTTTAAAAAAAATAGTAGAGAACTTTAAAAAATATTTTAGTATACTGAAAACAAAATAGAACACCTACGTATTAAGTATGAGAAAGCATAAAAATTCCAATCCCCCTTCAATCTGAGTTCAGAAGACCCTGAATGTCACTGCTGCAACAGCATCACTTTTTGCAAGAAAATACTTGGGCAGAAGCCTTTGTGCAAAATTGTATCCCCTTGTGGGACCCTCACAAAACCTTCCCCATCAGAATTCGTTCTGCACTTTGTGCTCTCCCATCAACATGGATCAGCTGCAGCAGCTCCAGGGCTGATCTCAGCATCTTGTGGGAAGTTGAACAACTAAAGCAATATGCAGTTTATTTTTAATGGCCTTGTAAAGAGCGTGGTTACTAATTTGAGAATAAACAGCCAGTGCAATTAGGGGATCTTTGCCATTCATCTGTTCTGTAAGATTTTCTGCATTCAGCTGCTGCCAAAGTGTTCCATGTCTTTGGAAGGGGATCCTTCCTGCCATCGCCTCCAGCAGAGTGAGGAGCAACTGACCAACATTTCCCGGCCCGTCGGTAGTTCAGGTGGGAGAGGGAGGAAGCAAAGGACTCGTGGCAAGTCTAGAAATGGGAAGAGAGCGACAGGGAGTTCCCTAAGCCCACACGGGCCCAGCTGCCTCAGTTGTCATGACAGAGAGTGGCCAGTTGGTCAAAGGTCTGACATCATCCAGTGGCAAAGTTTCTAGGGATAGGTTTGGGAAGCGGAAGCAGAAATTACTGACAAGATTTAAAAAAATACAACAGAGTATGGCTACGTTTGCTCTTCTCTACTGCTCTGGGTTTGTTTCCAACCTCTCTGGTCCTACCAGTGAACATTCCTGTCATGGGATTCCTGTCCAACACGGGCACGGAGCTGTGTCGGACATCACGCCGTAGGGGAGAAGGAATGGAAAGGACTAAGTGACAGTTTTCTAGATCTATTTTGCTCTAAGGACATGAGGTACAATGTTCAATTCAGAAGCAAAAGTGCTGTATCACAGCACCGTAACTTCAATTGTATCCCAGTTAGGAAATTCCTAAAGCCAGAAACATACACATCATCAACCAATAAAAACTGAGGGCCAGGACGACACACTGGCGAGCTTTGCAGGAGAGGGTTTTTACATAAAAAGAGAAACATTTTTATGAGTTTTTCAAGAAACTATGAACCAATCCCACTTGACTGACTTAGTTTGCAAACAAGACTGTGCAGCGCCAGGTGCTCAGGAATTAAATCGCAAGTGTAAAGAAAGGAGAACTGAGATCTAATTGTATGTCAAAGTTAACACTGTAGGAATATTGCTGGCCAATGAAAATTAGGTGTATTTACATGAAGATTAAGTGACTGGTGTCTTTTGAAGGCACAGGTAATGTAATCTATGGTGGTGATAGCCAGTCTTGTCAGTATGTGATGCACAGCTAAAAGCCTGCTTCCCAATTTAACCCTGTGCTGCACAGTCAGGGCATTTAGCTAGAACAGTCTGAAACCCAAGTTAAAACGCTCTGTGTACCTCCTTCCTTCTTCTCTGCTTCATCTCGGATGAGAGGGGACGTGAGTATCACCTTCAAAGTGAGCTTGGGCTCCTTTGTGTTACGGATAACAATAGCTGCCTCATTTACATGCTCCTCCACCAGATACTTCTCTTCTGTAAGTTTCTGAAAGTCACCAACAAAGATTTCAAGAATCTCCCAATCAGCTGGAAGACTGCAGAATCTGCCTGTGTGCCTCAGCTAGTGAGAAGCCCACAAGACACTGCAATAACAAATAAGGCCTTGCCTTCCTCATTAAAAACCATTTCAAACATTTCTTTTCTAGCCCATACTACAACTGCCTTACCATTCGCTCCATTAACATGCATTGTATCCGAGTTCTCTGCAGTGATCTCTCTGCAGGTCTCTGAGCAGTCCTTTGGGACTCTCTCAACCTCCAGAAGCACAGCGAGAGCCCCAGATGGCTCAGAGTCCTGCAGCCATCCCTTCTGCGTGCGAGTCTGGCTCACAGACCATACGGGCAGAACATGGATCTAATGTCTGTTCCGACTCCTTCCCCTGCTGCATCTGCTCTCCCGCAGCTCCTTTATTGTTGGGAGGAGAATGGCTGAGCATCTGCTCAGGATGAGCCTTCAAAGCAGCAAAGCAGAAGCTGCTGATGTCTCTGTACTGCACTTGCTCCTTTTGTCCACTAATGGGCCTAAACCCTCCTTCCCCCCCAGCACCTGATCCCTCTGCAGAACCTCTCCTGTCCTCCATGCCCAGACAGTTGTAGCGTTTCATGAGTCACAGCCTCATCTTTGCTGTAATCCCCACCATAATTCCCCCCAGGATCTTACCTGCCTGTCCCTTGAATTTATTCAGTCTTCACATCTTTTAATTACATCTACTCTCCTGTTTCATCTCACTGTTTTTGAAGCACACACTAACTTTTGTTCTCACTTTCAACCCTCCTCATTTCATGCCTCACTACAAACAAAATTTACTCTTTAATACTGAATACATCCCTATCATTTTCAAATAAGTAAAATGAACTCTTTACTCCTCAAAAGATCCTTTGCATTTTCAGCTATGGATAGGGCCACATCTGCAGGTACAACATTAGCTCATTAAAACAAGCCCTTTGTGTGAGCAAATAAATGGTGAGAACAGCTGTCAAGAATGGTAAAACACAGGGAGAAAAGCAGATCAGGAGAAAAGCAGATCGAGTTTGGTTGTGGTTTGGAGAGGGGCACTTGCAGTGGAATACCTGGGCAGGTCCTTGGCACCAGTGTTTGTCAGTCTGGAAGCTGAACTGATTCCTCAGCCTCAAACTCGGTCACAAAGGCAGTCTCCCTAAACAAGCTGTAAGTGCTGCCTGCTGCATGCCAACAGCAGAATTAAATAGCCATAAATAAAATGAACACGAGCTCGTGATTAACAGGAGCCAAAGCGAGTGACCACCTGCAGTGACACGTTCTCACCTCGGCAGCACAGAGGGGCTTCTGGGGGAACAGCCCCAGTGAAGCAGCTCCAGGGGGAACTGCAGGTTCAGGCAGGAGACAGGACAACAGCAGGGACTGAGTGACCCACTGGAGCAGGGGAGGTTCTGGGGCTGCAGTTCAGTCACACTGAGCCCAAGAGCCCGAATGTGCTGGGTTAGTCACACACACGAGGGTCATTGCCCTCAGGGCACTGACAGCACAGACAGGAGGAGGCAACAGCAGCAGGAAGATGTTCTGTTTTGTGAGCAAGTACTTCATGGCACCACATTAAACATGTCACACGCCCCAGATTTCGTCCTAGATTCAAACTATATTCCTTTATATCACTTGTCTGTCTTCCTGGAACAAATTGCAGCCTTTCCCCAAATACCCTTGGCAGTGCTACCAGGACTGCCCCAGATTAACTCACCTGAATTTGAGCTGGGAGATTGTCTTTAACGATACATAACAAGGTCTTTGTGGGTTTTTCTTTGCACATAAGAACCAGCTCCAGATCCATATCATCTTTTATCAGCAAGCCCTTTGCAACCAAGCCAATTCTCATCACACCACATAACGTCCGACCGCCTTGATCCCTGGAAATGAAACAATTTGGGCTAATTAAAATGGCATTTTACTCTCCAGATGCAGTTTAGGAGAACCTTTAAGAGCCACAGTAAAGAACTTCCAAAGCAATGTAAAGACACTTTAGTTTTGAGTACTGAAAGGCTGCAAAAAAAACCAGTTTTGCAGATTGGAATTGCTTAAAAACATGAAGAGAAATACAAGAAATGTTTCTCTGATAGGTCATCACCAGGCTCTTGTCTCATCCAGTTGTCTCCAAAGCATTTACTGCAGGCTTGGATTACTTTTTTGAAAACAAAAATCAGTGTTGGTGTGGGGCTGAGCTGCTGGCTGGGATTAAACCACAACAGCACTGGAGCCTTAGCAAAGTTGGACTGCTGGATTATAAAAACTTTTTTTGTCTATTAAACTGCATGAGCCCCCAAGCACGTGGCTGTGGATTTGCACTGGTGTGTTACAGGGACATATATTTGCTTAAAACTGCTGAAAGGTTTGTCTGCTAAATGCAACTTCCCAACACCACAGTAAAACAAACAAAGAAATGGAGAGCAACTGCTGCCCACACTGGGCTCATTGCCATTCCCTGCTCCCACCACAGAAAGTCCAAATATATCCCCTTCCTTCTATGAACCTTCACATGCAGCAGAAGCAAGGAACACTGGGACTCTTATTTGGGAGGAAAGGAAGCGCTGAGAGCAGCACAGGGACACACTGGGAGGGGAGAGAGGGTGAGGCTCACTTGGCATTGCCTTCCACAGCTTCCTCCTTGGCTTCCACATCACCCTCACACTTGGTAGACTTGTTCTTTTCATCCATCCAGTCAGAGACATGCTTAAGGGCACATTCTACTGTTGATACCATGTTCTGGACAGCTTCAAGTTCCTCTGGAGATGGATAAATGGTTGAGTGTTTCACCATTACGTGGCGGTCATCGTTAGCAAACGATCGGATCGATCTCTGTGGAGGAGTGGGAAACAGGAGGAAAAGAGAGCAATGTTACTGGATTATCAATAGGATGCTGCCTGAATGGGAATCCTCCCTGGCAGGGGTAGTAATGTCTCTTAGGATAACCATGCAGAAGCAATTTCTTTATTTAAATAAACTTTAAAAAGAAAAAAGCAAACACCAGTGCAAAAAAAAATCAGCATTAAAGCAGTAAAACTTACTTTCATTGTTTTTCTCACTTTTCCCTGCCCTCCCCCACCAAGATTCTCTTGGAGAAGAGGGCATGGTCTGGCTGGCTGAGAGTATAACAGAGTGCTGAAGCAGGAGAACACAAAACCCCTGGCTGCATTCCCTTTGACTTGCTTGGTTATTTACATTAACCTTTCAAAGTCAGTGAGAAATCACTTGGACTCTGATCTTGCTGAAGGACCTACATCTCATGGAGATACAAACTGTGAGCAATAGCACTGAGAGAAAGGAGGGCTGCCCTGCCCTGGGATACTTGCAGGAGTTCAGGTGTTCTGAATTCCAGCAATCTGAGTTAGACTGTGCCAGCCTTCAGCAGCTGGATAGCTCAGAGCAAAGGGGAGAGCCAGGGTCCTGATCCCAACCGGGAACGTCATGCCAAGGCAGGGGATTTGGAACATGAGCATCCCAGGGTGGGAGCAGACTGGGCAAAGCATGTGGAAAGGAGGGCAGGCAAGGAGAGAAGATTCCTATTTTGTAGAAGGTGTTAATACTTTCCAAATGCAGTTTTTGCCTGTTCTGGATGTGCTGAGTGCAGCCACCTCTCCTCTCTTTATGCCAGGGACAACAGCAACACACCTTGGAATGGGCAGTCAGAGAGCCAGTCCCTCACGTGTGCTGCTGCTGCAGATGGAGTCACAGCAATACAGAGGCTGCAAGAGGCTCAGCAGCTGCACAGGGATTTACAAAGCCAGGAATGAAGATGAGCATAGAGAGAAACTGGTAAGGAGACTGAAATAATTTTTTTTTTAAATTTCAAATTAATACAGAGATGAGAGTGCTAATTAAAATTAAGTCTTGAGTGATACTGCTGAGGAAGGTGGACTTCAGTGGTTGGGTAGCCTGTGCTAGGAAGCTTTTGGTTTGTCACACACTCTCCAGGTGAGACTTCTTTGATCTAAGTAGTGCCCCAGACCAGCTGTGATCACAGCACACACCTCTGGCAAGAGCAGCAGTAAGTCTTGGTCTCTACAGACACATCAATCACTGCTGAAAGCCTCCCACACCTGGGAGTCACCAACCAAGAACCTCTGTTCCTCCTACACATTAAGCACCTTAATTAGGTTTCCTTTTCACCCCAACTCCATGGGTTTGTAGCTGTACCCATTCCTAATAACACAAAGGGCCTTTAAAGGACCTCAGAGGCCTCTGGGCTGGATCCTCGTTAAGGAACTGTCCACATTTTCCTGGTTTATTCCACTCACTGAGTCCCTTCCACTGAAGGTCAGCATGATGCCATTCCCTTCCTCACTCCTGTGCTCCCACCCAGATGGATAATTTGGGCAGTAACAGCAGTACATCCATCGGGGGCTGGTATTATCCCCTGTTCTTTGGAAGGCTGCAAAACACTTCCAGGAGGTCCCTCTTGTGGTTATCCATAACATGGATACAGCAGGAGCTGCAGTTTAACAACTCATCCCACCATGTCTTATCTTATCTTACCATCCAGTACTCCACACTGGCACATCTTTACAAATTCACATCTCAGCCATTCCCAATGTGGAGCCAATCCCAGGCAGATGAGAGGTGACTCCTCACTTAACCAACATACACCAGGTGTATCTGGCTAAACACATTTCATCTGCACAGAGCCACGTTCAGTCACACACAGGTATGAATAATAATGCTTTTGTGAGAAGAGGTTGAAGGGGATTGTCAGCATTTGGTGATGCAATCTGCCAGTTCAAGGTCACTGATGCTGTTTGCTACAGCCTGCTAATGCCAGTTTTATTAGAAAACCTTATGAGCATCCCCTTGGTTTGTATTTAATAATTCATGTACTGCAGGCTCACAAGACAACTCTCTGGTTTTAAGAGGCTGACAATACATCAAACCTCACTTGCTTTGCTCCAAGCACGCAGCACCATCCCTCAGTGCAAGGTCAGAAAATCCCCTTCCTCGGGTTTGATTAGGCCCCATGCAAGACTGGCAGCAGAGAACACTTTTAATGCAGCCCTGTGAAAGACAACAAATACCTACCATGGTTTGTTAGTGTTTCAGCTCTCTCTCCCTCCCTTTCTCCTTTTCCCTCCTCCTCGGTGTCTTTGCTAAGCACTGTTTTGCCTGACAGAACCTCTTCATAAGCCTCTCAGTCCCTTGACAGCTCAAGAGTTCATACAGCCAAGATGCTCTGGGAGTCACTTTGTCTAATTCACCTGCAAAAAAGAGAGAAACAGCTTGAAAGCAGCAGCAAAGGCATGAGGATTCCAGAAGTGCTCGATGCAGCACATGGAGTCCAGCACTGCTCAGAGCACACAGGCTTTGAGATGGGAGCAGTCTGTGAGCCAGTTACTCCCCAAGCAGCAGCAGTCACTGGGGAAAGCAGCCCCCTGTGCTGTGCCCACACATGGAACGACTGTCCCGTGCCAGAGCTGATCTCAGGGAGCTCTGTCAGCCACCTGGCAATCCCAGTTCCTGGGATGAGGGCAGGAAATCCAGCACTGCAAACATGCTCCTTGTGATACCAGCTCAAGAAGTCTCTATTTTTATGTCACATGGACGTTAGCAATCAAACACACCATATTTAATTATCAAAAAGTAATTATCTTTTGAAATCCCCAGTGCAGCCCTCGATCCTGTGTCAGATGCTGCACAACAAGAACCAAGGCTTCAGGTGGCAATAACTGCAAGTTGTTATTTAAAGAAGGACAAGCACATTCTCCCAAACTGCAGACGTCAGACCTGCGAGCAGCTCAGCTGAAATCACCCACACCGCCTGTGCTGCCCGTACACTGCCTTTCCCAGCACCCAGCACGGAAAAGATCCTGTGAGAGCAGCCTTCTTGTACTAAACTGGGAAACAACCTCCAGCACTGGCAGCAGAAAGCTGCAAATAAATGCTCTGTGAGAGAGAAGAGCAGAAAAACAGAGCAGGTAATGTGAGAGAGGAAAGCATAAGCTCGCTGCACAGCAAGACACTCCAGTCCTTGCAGAAAATTCCTGTTTTCCTTTCACTGCACATACTGTTGCATCAGCTCTCCAGCAACGTTTTGAAGCAATTGCAAACCCAGTCAGTAAATCTGTGCAGCCTGACACACGCACTCAAACGTTTCCCTTTTCTCCCGTATGCCGACCCCCCTTCACCTGCAATATGTTGCATATTGTGTGTCAGAGAATCCTGACGTTGTTAGAGATTAAAAGCATGCTTGGCAACAGCAGAGGGGTAGGTGAGATGACTTGAAAGCTGAGGAGATGCTTAGACTGTGGTGTGACGGAATAATTAAAATGTTGCATCCTGTAGAGATTTGAACTTAACAGGGGAAAAGGCAGCAACAAATCCTACTTCCCTATTTGCCTAGTTTGGAAGGAATTAAGCAGGTTTACAGGACCAGCAGGTGCCTGGTAGTTGTTTGTATTGCACAGCCCTGAATTTTGGGTGCAGAATTGGGTACAACAGAAAGCAGCCAGACAAGAACACTGTGCAGAGCCCTGCCTGCTCCAGCAGCTGCAGCTGCCAAGGAAGAAACCCCAGGAGAGTTAAGAGCAGTCATACTAAAAATACTTGGGAAAAGCAAGCTAATGAAAACCCCGACTGCCCCCACTGCTCATCACGGAGCTCTGTACCCACCAAGGTGTATTAACACTCCACCAAATTGCTTCCCAGAAGCAATCAGAGAAGGGGGTGTTCTTTCACAGAACCAGCCTCTTCTCTTAAGAGATCCTGAAAGCCAGGCAGGGACAGCTGGGAGGGAAAATGAGCAAAGATCAGTGCTTTGGCACTATTTGTTCAGTGAGCTAGTCAAGCTTCTCCACACTCCACAGCCTTTCACCACCTCCAGAACCAACCAGACTCTTTGCAAGGTCTTTTTGTTTTGTGTAACAATAATAACAATAACAATAATAATAATAGTTTGAGTCAGCAGATAGAATACTAGAGAGACTTCTATGAGACATGTTTCTAGATCATCTATTTCAAATTATTCTCTCTCCACACTCAATTCCAGCTGTCTTCACCTACTCTTCTTCCCTGCCACTCCCACACTTCACCTTTTCGGTTTGTTATCCTCTCTGGCAGCTGTAATTTGGCCATTCCAGGCAGAGAGAAGGGCACTGGAACGTGTTGCTGAGTTCAGCACATGCCCAGTGCAGTGTCTCTGAGGGAGCAGCACCAGCCTGGCCTCCCTCCCCAGCCTGCTGCAAGCTGTTGCTTATCAGCTCACACAGGGCTCTGGAAGCAGATGGGCAGAGAGAGCTGGCTGGGCAGATCCTGGTGCTCAGTAAGTGCTGAGCAGGCTCTTGTCCAGAGGGCAAGTCTGCAAGAGACACCACGAGCTCTGCACACAGACACTCCTCAGGGGGCAGTTCGGGATGTGCCCAGTGCTTTTCAGTGTCTGAAAATCCAGAACAGACCAAAAATAAGTGTTTCACAGCTATGATGGGGGTTAAGCTGCTGCTGGACTGATGAAACACAACCCCCCCACCTCTCCATACCCTGCCTTAAGCAGGCAATAACCTGTTCTATTGTTTTCAAGACAGGTTCAGTTTTCAGTGACAAGTAAAAGTTGTTGGATGAAGGTATTTATGAGTTTGGTTTCACCTGCCCTGGTTCTCAGCAGGGCATGGCTGAGGTCAGGGCACAGACAGCTGAACTACAAAGGGATCTTTATTATCAAATTCAGAAAGCTGGGAAAAAACCCTCTGAAAGTTGAGTTGAAGCTGATATATGATGTTTTCCCAGTCATTAACATCCTACGAATATTTCAGAAACGCACAGGAGTGAAACCCTACCCTAATTTAGTTCAGACTTTGAGAGAACATTTTCAACAAAAGCACTAAACAGGAGGGAGTTTACTATAAAAGTGTAGACACAATATACAGAACAAAGTACATCTGACAGCATGCAGAATTAAATTAAGGAAAACCAAAATCAAATCTGCTCCAACCATATGGACTAAGGCAGCACAACATAGCTCAGCACCAAATACATCAGAAAGCATTATGTGAAGTGAGCAGCAATTCCATAAATCCAACAGCCTCATTCCACTACCAGGCTAGAGCAGGTTATTTGTTCCTGCATCCTCAGGGAAGTTACAGCTGATGCCCAGTCTAAAAAGCACAGTGTTAAAACATGTGGCTGTCTTACCCAGAGGCTGCCACCCACACTTGCAAGGAAACTTCTACCCAAAGCTCCTTGCACCAACCCAGACCTTGGTAACCTTGAAAAAGTCCCTTTTCCTCTGCATCATGTGGCCCTGAAGTGTGAAACAAGAGTAAACAGTGGCTGTCTCCAAACCAGGTCACGGCGGAGCCAAGCGGAGTCTGCAGCGTGGTTTAAAATCACTGGGGATTTGACACGTTAGAAATGTTATTAAAACACCATGACAGTGTAGCAACAGTTCCATTAAACATGCCATCCTTCACAGAGGAAGTTTATGCTTTGGCACAAGACAAACGAAAAGAATTTCAGATGAGGCTTTTGTAGTAGGAGATATTCCTGCATCTGCAGCTGCATTCCCGAGGGACAGGCAGTTAAACAGCCAGGGGTGATGAATATGCTCAGCTGCCTTGGAGTGCCTGTGAACAGAGTGAAAAGGCAGCAGAAACAGGTACGTGCACTCCACGGGGACTGAAATACCAGAATCAGGGAGCCATGAGCTGCTGGAAAGGAGACATGAACTGTGTTTGGCATCCCAGTATCCCCCTGGAGCAGCACCTTGCACGGAAGGGTTACTGGTGCAACAGAGAAGAGGGAATTGGGGTCACTCCACACCAGTGCTCCAAGCCCTCACTTCAGTCAGCTGCTGTTCAGGCTCCTGGCCAGGCCAAGTAGAACACCATGAAAATTGGTTTTTAATGCTCCATCAAGAAGGCACACGCTAACAATGTTCAACTGAAGCATTAAAAACACCCTCCACCCTCCTAATCTAGCCTGACACCAGTATCTGCCCAGTGTGCAGTGTGCACCACCCCACGAGCAGGCAGAGCTTGTATTAACAGAGCAGCAAGGTTGCTAATAACAAACCAATGAGTATCTAGCACAGCCTGAGGTGTATCAGACACAGTAATAGAAAAAACTGAAATTTATATCCTTTTTTATGACCTTCAAAAGTCAGAATGAGAGGCTCGCAACTTCAAACTGGAAGTTTATTTTAGCCTCTGCTTTGCATTCAGGAGACAGGTAATTTTTCGTCACACCACACAAAGTGCTGCTGAAAATATGTTGTGTTTTTTCTGCAGTATAATTTTATTGCTGGCCTTCTGCCAAGAGTCTTTCTGGCAGCATCTCCCACAGTTGGAAACTGTGTATCTGGGTCAGAAAAGACAAGCGGCTTTTCAGAACAGCTCAATACATTTGGCAGAGATGCTGATATTGTAATTGAACTCTTTCAGCAACTCTCTTTATGATGTACCCAGACACCAAACAAAACAAGATCTGCAGTGTTGATTAATGTCAAAATAACTGACAGAGAAATATCAAAATAGTTTTCCCTCATGTTAAAAGTATCAACAAACCGAGGGGAACAGATAAGAAATACAATTCACGAGGATTCAGAGAGGAGCACAGGGCAGAGAATTCTGCAAAGCAGGGCTGACCTGCTCCCTGTGCAGATATTCCCCAGTTAAAATCCCAGCTCCCCGTGCACTGCACAGAACTTCTCCTTCCCCACCACAGGAAGAGAAATCCTGGCCACTCTCAGCCCCAGCAGCACTCTGGAAAGCAGTGCTGCCCTAACACTGGGATACATATTTAATAAGGCTCAGACTGCTTCCAACAATATGCTCGGCATCCAATTTCACCTGGAGACTGTGTATTCATAGGAGTTTCATTATTTTCCATGTAATGCATTTCCTGGCAAAGTTGTGTCTGGGTTAGCCTTTAGAAGGCTGGAACTTTCCAGCCAAATGAATAATTACAAAGCAACACTACAGTTAAAAGCTGGAAAGGTACTTCCTCTGGCGAACTCTTACACTTCATACAACAAATACTTGAGTCTGGGGTTACTCCTGCCTGTTCAGTTCTCACAACATCTCAAGGAAAGGCTCCTGTGCTCGCAGATCTCTTGGGAGCAGCCTCTGCCAGGCAGCCCCAACAGCCAGGTTTAAGTGCCAAAGACAAGGCAGGCACACACTTGATAAACAGATCTGGAACCTGGAACCATCAGAACTGAGGAACCAAAGTCACCTTCCAGGACCCAGAGCTCTGACAACTCTGACAGCACCAGGAGAGCGAAGCAGGTGCCCATTGTCAGTGTGGAGGAAGGGACTGGGAGAGCTCCTGCAGAGAACCCAGCTGTGCCAAGGGACAGATGGAGAACTGGGGGACCCTCAGGCCACAGATGCAACTGAAAAGGGGTGAACACGTGGACTCCCCTCCAACTGGGGAGTCAGGACTAGAAAAACAGCCAGAATTAATCACACTGGCACAGTAATTAAAGAAGTTGAAGAATCAAAGCCAAGCAATTGCTTAATCTAGATTAATGTATTAAGGTAAAAAGAAACAAGGATGTCAGGGTGTAGCTTGTATTTTTAGCTCCTGGAAAGAGGGTGAAGAAAAGATGGTCTAAGGGGAAATCATTACCAGCCTAACAGGAAGGTTAAAAAAGGAACAACAGAGGCACTGTGTGAGCACATACACAATCATCTGAAGAAGAAAATGCTCTATTTTAGATAGAATCACACCAGCCAGTCTCAGAAAGAAATACCATTAGTAGAAATAACTGCAGCTATTGAATTGTATAAGAAAGAATATAGTTTTAGAAAGAATATAAATCCTTCTCCCTTGGGATTTAACCTGCTGCAGACTACTGAGGACAGGAGGATACACCACCACGCTCACAGGGTGGTCTTCAGAGCACCAGCAGTATTTTTTACATAAATCTCCCTCCAGATTTTTATCTGCCTCTCAGTCCCTGACACCTGCACCAACCCCCAGCACTGCCAGGCTACAGAGGGTCTCCAAGGAAATCATTCTGAAGGTGCCTTCACCTCTTTGTGTGGGTGTCAGGATGCAAGGCTGACTAGAGACAGACCAAGTGCAGAAAGATTTAAGAACTGAATGTTGACACTTAAATTGACACATGAACAGTTTAATGTTTTTCCTGTTCAACCAGTCAGAAATATCCAAAACTGAATTGCCTGTAAATCTGAGCACTACAGAAAACAAAACATCTTAAAGGGTGCATTTCTTGGCAGGTGTCTTGAAAAAAAACAAAATAAAAAGTCACAGATTGGACAATAGATAAATAATGAATAGCAAAATATTCACATGAGACAAGGCAGAAACCACCACTGGATTCTCAATATCTGTGAAATGCTAAACTCACTTCTGGCTTGTGACACCCTAACAAAGGCATTCCTGCTCTCCTGGCTAAATTGGACAATGGCAACCTGAAGCTACTTTGCAGTCATAATCTGACATTCACACTCAAAATCATTTGAAATTCCTAACCCAGGCTACATTCACTTACAGTTGAAGAATTAACTAAATTAATAACAGGATTACATTACACTGAAATGACACTCACCATCTGCAATGTCATTTTTCCAGAGAAAGAGCTGGTTTAAGCAAAATTCTGGATCTATGCCTGAAATGACATCACATTCTCCAAAAGAGAATCACAGTTCTACCTCCTCCACCACACAGTGCAGTCAGTGCCATGCTGGGCTCCTCACCATCCCAGCACTAAAGCTCTGCAGATCCCAGACTCCCAGAGACTTCCCACATCCCTGGCACTGGTGTCCACTGCCTTACCTGCCAGGCTCCCGCTGTTCCACCACCACCATGGGAAGCAGCCACAGTGTCCAAGAGACCAAGAACAGGGACATTCCTTCCCCAGCACCCTTTGGCTCCACCAAAATAGCTGCAGTGCCCCAGTTTCCTTGCTGCTGTGATTCATATCCCATAGAATATGGGATACTGCAGGTGGACCTGAGCTGCAGCCCAGCAGGGCTGGGGTGAGGGAACAGCCAGCGAGGGGCCACTGCCACCAACAGGGGCTCCTACAGCTCCATGGGGCCATGGGCACACACATGGGACAGGCTGGGAGCCAGGGCAGCCCCCAGGGTGGCAACAAGCAAAATGTAAAGAAGGAGACTGGAGGAGACTGTCCTGCAGGAGCACTGGCCCTGCTTGTTCTGGTGGCTGCACTCTTCCTCAGTCCAGGAGGCAGAGCCAAGCACGTTGGCTGTCCCAGCTGTTCCCTGCTCTGCAGCTCAGGCTAATGCACAGCCCGGGAATTAGGGAGGCGGCAGAGAAAGGCAACATGGATCCTAAGCCTCTGCTTGTAAATAAAACAAACTGAGTAATTCTTACAAATGACACAATGCAAATAGGTCTTTGAGAGTCACATGTCCCCAATGTTTACATGAGGTTTCAGTTTCAAAGCATTAAGACCTTTTTGAGAACAAATGCTCTGACTAAAATTTCAGCAGCCCTCGACAGTGAAATTTAAACAAGTTTCTCCCCAAGATTTCTTCCCCAACATCAATATATACAGACACTGTTTTCAGTACTGCAAACCCACACTGGCTGCTGTGCCCGGCTGCCTTCAGCCACTTTAAACATTCATGACTCTCCACTGAAATGCATTTTCTAGTATGTCTGTCTTGCTGCCTCAGTGACTTCTTTTTTTTTTTAATTAAAGAGAGAGGATTTAAAAGGATTTGGAAGGGAAGACCACTAGACTCTGTGAGTACTGTGCAAAAAGCTCTTGTGCTCCCAGGCAGTACACATTCTCCATCAGACTTTTCCCATGTTTTGGTTCCACTGTGACTCCCAAACAAGTTCAGGGTAATTTTTCACTTCCTGACTAATTGGCTGTTTTGTCAACGAACACGTCGTCAAAGGTTCAGGGTTACTAAAAGCTGAAGGTTTTAAGTGGTTTTTCTTGCCATCTCTTGCCCATCCAACCATGTTTTTTGAAGTTTGATTCAACGTCACAACATGTAATGGCACAGAAAGGTCTGAAACAGAATCTGTAACTACGATCTGGGGTTGTCTGGGGAACAGAAGTGGCTCTTTTGAAACCTTCTCCAAACACAGCACAAGCCCCACGATGGCAGAGAAGGGGGGGTCTCTCTAGGGAAGGGCACCCTGCCTGCCATCCATTTTCAGCCTCACAACACAATTATTTACTTCAAATGCACGATAACCCTACCAAAAGATTTGAATTAGGTTATTTAGGCATGAAAGGTAGCAACAATATCCATCAAAGCAAAACACACCACACACCAGTGTGAGATGGCAGAGGAGGAACTGTCAGCCTCACATTTGTGACCCAGGTTATTTGTCTTGGACAAGACTTTGTAGTGGGAAGTCCTGGCTTGGGCAAGACAAAGAAAAAGAGCCACAGACATATTTAGAGATTTACAGAATTCATAACTAAAAACAGAAGTCCTATTGCCCTGGAAAACTATTGAGTCTAAAAATATTTTAAATGGGCTCAGTCCAGCATCCTCTTGCCTCAGCAGATCTCCAGTGCACGCCTGTGCTGTCAGATCTGCCAACTTCACTTGAAAAACTCATCTGTTATTCCTCTCTCCAGTTCACACGGCACAGGACGGGGTTGGGAATGGAAAAAATAGGAACTTTAGCAGGGACCATCAGTGGTGAAAATGCTCAGTTTGAAGGCCACAAGCCAGGCTGCAAAATTAATTTCTCGGTATAAGTTCTATCTGTCATTCTTACCCTTAGGAACATCCCAAGTAATGACTTTTTTTGCTTGCTTATTTTTAATAGGATATTGAAATTTAAAAATTTAGCAAAATTGGGTGTCTGTAGCACTGTATTCTCCAGTATCTTTGGAGAACACAACTGTGCCAAGTAAGTGTTCCTGAACTTGAAAAGTTACACTTAATCTTTTCTTATCTTTCAAATTTCAAATAAAATCTGGGGGGGAGGGGGAAGAATAAATGTGCCAATCCCAGCTGGATGGCATTTTGAAGATCATGGACATAGCTTTGCTGCTTTGGCCTCTTCACATTTCCTATAGAGCTGTGAATTAGTTTAATTTCTCTTTACAGATAATGTCATCTCCAGTGTGTCACTTGGAACAGCAGCAAAGACACTTCCAGCTCTTCCTTTGTTAAAGAAGCTCCCTCAGCCTTTGCATTCCCCACCATCTCCTTGGGATCGAGTCCCCGGCGTCAGACCCTGCCCTCCTGTCAACATCGAGCAGCAAATCTCTGAGCAGCAAAAGAAGATCCACATGAACATCCTGGAGGCAACACGTGAGCCACAGGGCCCTGCTGTTCCGTGAGTGTGGGGAGGGGAAAACACCCCCGGGGTGGGAGGGGGTGCACAGCCCCCAGGAACGGGGCAGACCCCAGGGAGCAAACAGCCTGACAGTCAGGAGCAGCACTCAGCTCTCAGCTTGGCAGGGAGATCAATTCACAACAACACAACTCTCTCCCCAAAGCTCCCTTCATACACTGGAGTCGCTAAAAGTAACACTTGAAATTACTGTCAGGGGAAAGACTGGAGAAAAACAATCCAGGTTGGTTTATTTTGGGCCATTAACTGCAGTTTGTGTCTGGCCACTTCAGTTCCCCTGATAACAGGAAAGCTGCTGTTCCTCACAGCAACACTGATGGGGGTTCTTCTGTTTCTCTAAAGAAGCTGAACCTGGGAAGCCACAGCCTGTCAGGGTGGGAGAGCACACGGTCCCAACGCAGAGGGCAGCACCAAACCCGGGATCAGAAACCAGCTGCCACACAGACTGAGGGTGTTCTCCTCGGGTGGGCAGGGGGACAGAAACCCTTTCATCCCTCAGGGAGAAGTTATGAGGAAATGAGATTAGAGTGTAAATGTTTTTATTGCCTGTCCATGTCAACACCATCACCACCACCACCGGGACACGATCACTGAACTCTCTTGTCAGTGCAAAGAACCTGCCTGGTTTTCAGTCTAAAACTATACTTTTAGTAGCCTAAGAATGTCAGGTTATAATGCCACTAATATAGCTTATTCCACAGTTCAACCAAAATTCAACTCTATAACCTGAACATTTTGTGTTAATGAGAAAAATTCTTCTTTTAAAAAATCCATAAATGCTTTGTGCACTGAAAGAGCACTTGGTTCTGCTGGTTTATGAGTTCTTCTCTTTGCACAGCTCCTCTGTTGTGGAAACAAAACTCTCTGTATTGGGCCTTCCCAGTGACATTTGCAGACTCCTACACTTGCCCCAACAGGACGTTCAGAAAAGGTTCTTACTGGCCTCTAAAAGTTAGCTCATCATTAACTGACTGCAGAAATACACTAAAGAAAACAACAACAACATAAAAGAACATTCTGGAAAAGGCTTGTTGCTTGTTTTGAGGGAAACAAAAAGTAATTAAACCTAGCTAAGACTTTTTCATTGAGCATTTTGCTCTAAAGCATTGAGAACTCACAGAACAGCAGAACCACCAGTGCAGAACTGTCAACACAGGCAAAGGCTGTCCCTGAAATTCAGTGGACAAATACTACCAGGCACTTTCATGCTTCACAGAGACAAAATCCAGAAGTTAAATTTAGAATGATGATTTCTGCAGGCACTCAGATGTTTCTGCTCTAAATTTTCGAGAAATTGCAAATTACAACTTGGCAGACTTTAAACTGACCCAGCATGTGTCTTGTGCAATCCAATCATGATCTGTCCTGTTACTCTGCAAAGCTTAGGGAAAAAACATCATGCCTTTGAACACATGATTTCAGACAACTGACAGAGACATTCCATCAGTCTCTTCCATTTTGATTACAGTAGCAAGTCCCAACATGCTTTTATTGGCAAAACAACCAAAATCAGCCCTTAGGTACACACACAAGAATTCCACACCACTTCAAACATCACTCTGCAATTGCTGTGATAGGTGTAAATGTTACACTCTTTGCATTTAGCAGAGACCCCAAGTGACTGTCCCAATGCCCCAGTAAAGCAGTGGCAGGACTTGGAAGAGCAGTTTGTCATTTACTACATACACCAAGCATCCTCTCCCCCCTTTTCAGCTTTCCACCCTTTCCTCAGGCTTCATTAGTTTCATTTGAGCAGACACTGCATTCCTGGCTGCTTTTGCTATTCCCCCTCTGTTGCAGGACACAGCCCTTCCCCACAGGTCAGCCTGGCAAACTGTCACAGGGAACCTTCACACCAATTACCTGTGCATTCATGAGATTCAAATTAGCAATTCAATATCTGAATATGGGCTGGTTAAACTCTGGAATCTAATTCACAATGTGTCCTCTTTTCAGGCATCACATTTTTTGAGCACTCTGCTCTTTTGAAAGTCAAACTGATGTGGGCTCAGGAACCTTGTTTTTTTTTTTCCAGAGAGGACAATGGAGCCCCTCTTCTGTCAGGCAGCAGAACACACACAGTCTGTTCTCGGGAAGAACAGGAGCCAGGAAGGACAAGAAGAACATTGCAGGACACCAGCAAGGGACCCAAGCCTTTCTGCAAGGTAAGGGGAAGCTTTGCAGCCCTGCTCTGTAAAGCAGCTCCTCAGCACTGAGCATCTCACTCTGCACACCAAATTCCACCATATGGTTTGGCTTTGAAGGAAGAAAACCACAGGCAGCTGCCTTTGCCACTTGGTTTTTCTAGAGCTTTAACAGACATAGGAATAGGCTGTGGAGGATAAGGGAGTTCATTCTTCTCTCTCTCTTAAAAAACAAACAAATTAACCAGTCAACCTCCCCAGCCTTCACACTACATACTACATGGCCACATAAAACACCCAAAACCAAATGGAAAGGATAGAGGGTCTGAGAGCATCTTCCTTACAAATCAGAAGAGACACTGGGAACTCCCAGAGGACCAGGAGTGCACGTGCCTGAACCCCAGTGACACCCCTCAAACAAGGTCTCCTCAGTCTGCTCCACACTAAGCTCCAGCCATCCAACAGCAGTTTGTAAGTCCTGGGAGTTCATTCAGGATGGCTGCTTTGATCCTAGATCTTTTCAGGAGATTTTTCAAAGTTTGTTAGAGTATTTTCAGCTGGAAAGGACCCACAACAATCACCAACTGCAACACAAGAGGAGCACAAATAATGAAAGCAGAGCAGGGAAAAGGAAAGAGGGGAAGTACAGTAAATCCTGTACTCCTCAGCTCTCTGCCAGAATTCAGTTTTCTATAGGCTGTGCATGAGACTTGCTACTGTGCTGTGTGATGAGGGCAAAGGGAGCTCATTGAGACAAGGTGCACCTGCTAAAACTGGCACTAAAACTACTGCAAGTGACTGGTGCCCAGCACAAACAGAAAGCCAGTCCTTGTTCCTCTGGCACAAGAGGACTCCTTACTGCGAGTGCCACGTACAGCTCAGACATTTATAAGCAAAAGCAAAGACACTGGCCAAGGGATTTGTATTAAAATACAGATTACAGCTCACAGGGTGAGGGAAATGGCAAAGGGAGCAGTGAGTCCATGGCCAGCCAGGCTCTCCCCAAGCAGCCCTTCCTCTGAAGGAGCTACAAGGAGACAGCCTGAGCCAACAGTTTCTACAGCAACTGCAGAAGCACCAGTTCAGTGATACTCTGAGCCTGCAGTAACTGCAGAAGCATCAGGAAATGGATACTCCAGAAGGAACCTGTCACAGTTTCACCTGGACTGCCTCCACCTCCCTGGGCAGTCCATTGATCCCAACCAGCTGAGCTCCACTCTCTACTTGCCCATTCCTCTGCAAACGCTTCTGAATCCTCTTTACCCTTGATGTCCTTTCAGTACACTTGCTCCCCTTCAAAGTTTCATGGAATTTGACACAGGCATGAGAGAGTTTTGTAGACACGGTGCTGAAGGATGAGTGTCCTCACCCCTCCGTGTGTGGGGCTGCTGCAACTCCTCAGGGAGGGTGGAATGCTGTTATGACAATGGCCCTGTGCTCGTGCTGCACCACTAAAAGCACCCTTGGAAGCATCTCAACAGGAACCAAAACAGAGGCTGGTTACCACCCAGCTGCACAGAAAGAGCAGAGCCATTTGTAACAGGGTGACTTCAACACTGATGTGCAGAGGCCATATTAAGGAGCAAAATACTGCACCTATGCACTTGGTGTCTCAACTAAGAACTGTCATTCACTGAAGGATGTTTAGGGCAGGACATCTCTCATTACCCTTTTAAGAATCTGCTGTAGATTCTCAACAGTTCCACGTAAACTTCATCAGTTCCACATAAACACCCTTTTGCACGAGTTTTTCCTTAACTCTGCACTTTTACTTTGTTTCACACAAACTTGGCACAAAACTCAGGCTCCTGACCCACAGCAAGAAGTTAAACAACACTGCTCGTTTGTTTTTAGAAGGGTCAGGAAGTTTCCAGTTTCAGGCTCATCAGTGTTCCAGGTGGAAGGGAGCAACATGTACAGTCCCAGCTCAGGGACATTCAGTATTCAACCCCTCTGCAAAGAGCAGAGACCTGGCAAAGATGCACTTCCTAAACTGCTCTTTTTATTGGTTTATTACATGAGGCCACATCCACAAAACCAGATTTTTGGTCAAGAGTTCACTACTTATATAATACTGACTCCCAGCTACCTGCTTCAAACAATATCCTCTATCTCCTGGGCTAACAAAAGGAAAATGACTGAATTCCCTCAAAAGATAAAGCAGACTGCATGAAAATAGTGGAAAAGAATCTCATTCCCACACTAATGGTAGTAGAGAAGAAACATAAAGGCAAACATATTTTGTTTTTATCTTTGTGCCTTTTATCATGATTGTTTCAGATAGCACCATCACTATTGTGACAGTTATTTCTAAAACGTGAAGTAGTATGAAATCTAAAGTGGAAAAGTGTCTTATAAGTTGTTAAAGCATCAGCATGCAAAGATGACTTCTGGATCAAATTTATTCCTTAGCAGGCTGGTTTTGAAGGAATAAACAGTACAGTTCCAGACAACCATCTTTTAATACAAATTAATATTAAAAAGTCACTTATTTAGCAACTATGCACAATGTCAGGTTCCACATAATCTGCTGAGACTAAAAAGTCAACCAAAATTTTTAAATTGTTGAAAATACCCCGGTTACAGGAGGTTCTTAAGCGGCTCCAAGGTGGGAGTCATGATTCTTTTCTCTTACACAAATTTAGACAACTGTGTTCTCTCTCCAGCCTCCTGGCCATCTGTAGAGATGAGGAGGTGTGTACAGATGTGGGCTCAGAGCAGAACAAGCTACTTCTCTGAGCTCATATTTTTGGCAGTCACCAATTTCACCCTCACCCACCAGAAGCAGAGAAGTTATCAG